CAGAGGGCGAGATAAGCAACCGAGCTTTGCTAACAGAGAGCTTTATTTTCAATCTGTCAGTTAATTAAAAGACAAAGCCTGATGAGGCGTCCACTGTCAGTTTGTAAAGGTGAGCCGCCTAATAAGGTGTCCAATAAAGACACAGTGACATCACCGGCTCCTTTCTGAAAAGTTCCGAGATTTTCTACAAGAAGCGCTTGGAGCGTTCGCACAAAAAAGCCGAAGCGCTCTGAAAAAAAAAAAAATAAGAAGTTGGGTGGACGCGTTTTCCCATGTGCTCTCTGCTCAACTGAAAAAAAAGACACTGAGAGACTGAGGGGGACACATGTCACCAGAGATCATAATCTGCTGTTAATGGATGATCTTTGATCTGATGATCTTGTCGTCATGTGTCTGTACCTATGTTTGTAAATAAAGGCGCTGTATGTAAGAATGTGGCCAAAACGGTTACTGCACTCAAAATCAAAGTACTGCCGCGAGTCGTGTCCGCCCCCCCTCCCCTACAGATTCGAGGTTGCTGGACAGCGGCACGCTGGAGACTGATTTGTTTGCCCACGGGCGGCTGCCGTGGCAGGGCTGCGTCACTGTGTCCTTGATCTTCGGTTTTCCAGCGGACCGTTCGCGCAAGTGCGGCTTCTCTGCTGCTAACGCTGCTGCCGGGATACAGCTGAGGAGGAGCCGGCTGCTAATGCTATGTACTGGGTCACTGCTAATGCTGCTTGCCGTGCTGCTGTAGCTCAGTCGTAACTGTAACTGATGCTGAGACTCTACTGACTGCGTGACTGGTAGACGGCGGTGGGTGGCGCAACAGGCCAAAACACAAATTCAAAACATAAACATGATTTGCAGACTGTAAAATTTTTTTTAAATGCGAATGTTCTGGTTGTACTATTGTTGTCAGTGAGATCAGTATGTTATATTAACATTATTCCTTAGTCTCTGTGACACATTAGGAGGATTTTATGACTATTTGCTTTAGATTTCTTACATATAGCTCCTTTAATTTGTGGTGTGTCAACTTGTTTCAGATCGAGATCGATGAGGGAGATGTGGACAGTCGCTTCAGAAGTCTGTTTGGACAACTGGCAGGAGGGGTGAGCCTCTCACACACGCACACACACACACACACACACACACATCATACGAATCACACAGTGTGAATGAACCCAGAAGATCTGACGCTGAAACGTCTCTGTGCTGCAGGACTGTGAGATCTCAGCCTTCGAACTGCAGAAGATCCTCAACAAAGTGGTGACCAAACGTGAGACACTTTTTAACCTGCAGCCTCAGGTGTATCAGCAGGTGTGAACAGTGCTCAGGTGTATCAGCAGGTGTGAACAGTGCTCACCTGTCTTTCTCTGACAGGTCAAGACATCCAGACGAGCGGCTTCTGCCTCACGACGTGTCGTAACATGATCAACATGCTGGACGTATCCTTCCATCACAGATGAAGTTGACAAATAATCTAAACCAGATGCTTGTTACTTCTTTGTTAAAGAAATCATTAAACTCTGACATCATCAAATGATTCAAAGAGAAAATAATCAACAGATTAATGAAAATATTTGTCAGTTCCAGTGTTAATAAACGTGAGTTTGTGGTTCAGGTGAGAACTTGTTCAGACTGCAGGAACCAGAGTAGTAGTTCTTTTCTGCTGCAGTGGCTGATGGGTAAAATAATGCAAGCGTGAACGTCAGTGTCACTTCCTGAATGGGGGCTGCAGAAGGATGGCAGTGGTAAACTGGGTGTGGTGGAGTTCAAAGTGCTGTGGACCAAAATCGAGAACTACCTGGTGAGTCTCAGATCCAGAACCTGGTCTCAGGTCCTCTTTTGTGTGTGTGTGTGTGTGTGTGTGTGTGTGTGTGTGTGTGTGTGTGTGTTTGTGTGTTTTACCTACAGCAGGCATCAGTCAGCAGGTGGAGTCTGACACTGACGCTCAGTGACGTCCTGCTGTGGGCGGAGTCAGCAACAAGACAGATCTTACACACCTAAGATATCAGTATCAGGTAAAGTGTACGATATACTGAGAGTGTTTTCACCCCTTCACCTTTCTGTCAGACAGCCTGTTCAGACTGGGAAGCTGTTAACAGCTCCCCATCTCTGCTCTCTTCACAGCCAGACTGTCTGTCACTGGGAGACTTTGGTGAATCAGAGTCTCCCAGTGACACAGACACACCCACTGACCAGCAGCTCATGTTAAATCACTGGTGTTGTCATTGAAGAGAGAGAGAGAGAGCCATATATCAGCTTCATTTCCCTGTTAGAACTCACTGTGTGACAGAAAGGTGAAGAACATCGTACACTTCAACTTTTAGAGAGTAAAATCTGTCTTGTTGCTGACTCCGCCCACAGCAGACATCAAGGTGAAGCTGTGGAATAATTCGGACACTTTAACTGGTACTGATATTTTTAGTTGGGACGTTTTGTTACAGAGCTTATCAGCAGTGTAAAGATCAGACCAAATGTCTCCCCTTCTGCTCCTGAGACATGACGTTAAATCATGATGATGTCACAGTGACCTTTGACCTTTGACCACCAAACTCTAATCAGTCTCCCACTGGTTCCAAGAGAACATTTGTGCCAAATTGAGTGAAATTTCTTGAGGCCTTCTTAAGACACAGCCTTCATGAGGATGGGTCAGACGAACAGACCAGCAGCTATTGGCTGCTAGTGTCCTGTTACTTCCTGTTAAGTGTCTTTGACACATGAGCTCTAACTGTGTCTCTGTGTGACAGAAAATTTACAGAGAAAAGGACGTGGACAATACGGGGACAATGAGCTCAGCTGAGATGAGGACGGCTGTGGAGGAAGCAGGTAAACCCTTTCAAAATAAAACACTTTCTGTTGTTTCCTCAAAGACACTTTTCTTCATCAGGACTTTTCTTAATCACAGAGGCGCTTCGTCTGTCTGTCTGTCTCTGTGTGTCTGTGTCTTCTGACCTGTGTCCTCAGTGACCTGTCTCTGTGTCTTCCAGGTTTCAGTCTCAACAACCCGCTCCATCAGGTCCTGGTGGCTCGTTACAGTGAACCAGATCTCACCATCGACTTCGACAACTTTGTCAGTTGTTTGGTTCGTCTGGAGAACATGTTCAGTAAGTCCCCACTGTCCCCACAAACCACACTATCCTCACAGGATCCACTCTAACTCATGATGATGATGATGATGATGATGATGATGTTGTTTCCTCTCCTCAGACTTGTTTGACACTTTGAACAAAGATGACTCAGGAAACATTCAGCTCAGCCTGTTGGAGGTACGTTTCTCTCTCTCTCGCTCACACACACATTGTTACGACCCCGGCTCTTAGGAACCAACATAGAGGAGTCAGACAACGTGTGTGGCAATTAAAGTAACATTTATTGCACAAAAGGAAACAAAGGATAACCAAAAGCTGAAAATGGAGGCTGGTGACAATGCAGCTGGCCCAGGCTGCATGGTGGAAGAGAGAGAGTGGGTGGAGCTTGTTTGGGTTTTTAAAGACCTCCCAGCAGGTGTCAGAGATTAAGAGGGAAACTATAGGGGAGGAGTCTGATTACCTGAAAAACAAAAAGAATCAGATTTGGACATAAAACACACACACACAGAGTTTGCACCAAGAGGTGATTTAACATGAGTCTGATGTGGTTCTCCTCCAGTGGCTGAACGTGTCTCTGCTCTGAGGAACCAGGACCAGGCTGATCCCGGACCTGATCCCAGACTGGAGCTGAAACACTGGAGTCTGGTTCATATATTCTACAGTAATCACGAGGGAGAGGGATGTTAAAGACACAGAGACAAACTGGTCATTTCTTATTACTTAATTAACATGTTATCAGTTTATTACTCCCTGTTATAATCACATGTTTATTAGTGTTTACACAGCTGTTAATTCTCAAAGCAGACATTAATAAACAACTACATTATGGTCTGTTATTCATCAGTTATTACATGTTGGGATTGCTTCTATTTATGGTTAGATGTGTTCTGATTGGTCCAGCAGATTGTTTCTATACTTCATCATTAGGTCATTTATTGTTTTGTGTTTGCTAGAAAAGCTGCTTCACACCGGATGCTTTAATAACACTTGTGTGCACTGTTATAAACATGTTAATAACGCCTTATATTAATGCCTATTAATGCCTATTAATGCCTTAATAACACCTTTGTGCACTGTTATAAACATGTTATTAATGCCTTAATAACACCTGTGTGCCGTTATAAACATGTTATTAACGCCTTAATAACCACCTAGGTGCACTGTTATAAACATGTTATTAATGCCTTAATAACCACCTGTGCGCACTGTTATAAACGTGTTATTAACGCCTTAATAACACCTGTGTGCACTGTTATAAACATGTTATTAATGCCTTAATAACCACCTTTGTGCCCTGTTATAAACATGTTAATAACGCCTTAATAACTACCTTTGTGCCCTGTTATAAACATGTTCTTAACGCCTTAATAGCACCTGTGTGCACTGTTATAAATGTGTTATTAACGCCTTAATAGCCACCTGTGTGCACTGTTATAAACGTGTTAATAACGCCTTAATAACCACCTGTGTGCACTGTTATAATGTGTTAATAACGCCTTAATAACCACCTGTGTGCCCTGTTATAAACATGTTATTAACGCCTTAATAACCACCTGTGTGCCCTGTTATAAACATGTTATTAACGCCTTAATAACCACCTTTGTGCACTGTTATAAACGTGTTATTAACGCCTTAATAACACCTGTGTGCACTGTTATAAACGTGTTAATAACGCCTTAATAACCACCTGTGTGCACTGTTATAAACGTGTTAATAACGCCTTAATAACCACCTGTGTGCACTGTTATAAACGTGTTAACGCCTTAATAACCACCTTTGTGCCCTGTTATAAACATGTTATTAACGCCTTAATAGCACCTGTGTGCACTGTTATAAACGTGTTAATAACACCTTAATAACCACCTGTGTACACTGATAAACATGTTATTAATGCTTCAATAATCAAGACAATAAATGAGTGAATCAGTTTGAGCAGTGATTTATTGTGAAACAAAGAAATGAAAAGTTCAGATTTATAAAATATTGTCAGGTATAAATAATAAACCTTCACACCTGACTGTATTGTCCAATAAGAAGGACCTGACTGCAGCTGTGGGTGGGGCTTACAGTCACCTGTACCTTTACTGCGGTGCACTGATAGCATGTCACAGGACGTAGCATCATGCTAAATGTTTCTATGATGAATTATAAATATTGTGAAATCATTTGAAAACTCTGATTGGCTGACAGCAGCAAAAAGAAGCCCTGCCTACCAACCAGGCCACACCCTTTGCTCCCAAACAGACGTCTATAATAATCCCACGTCTTGCCCCCTGAATTCCTGTTCAAACAGGAAACAGTTCCTCTATGCAGCAGGTACGTGACCCTCTCAGCTTCCAGCAGGATGATGTCATTTCTTGCTTTATGACCTCATCGCTGTATTTTCTGCCGAGCGAACTCCTCTGCCCACCTCAGAGCCTCAGTGATGTCACTGCTGCTTCCTGTTCCCTTGGCAACCAGCGCAGAGCCCCCGGCGCTCCCCCCAAGGTGATGACATACCGCCACCGCCCAATCAGAGGCCAAGAGGGAGGGCGAGTCCTGAGGAGAGAGAGAGAGAGGACAGCCAATCAGATGCTTTAAACGAGGCCTCACCCCCTCTGTGGTGTCACTGTCAGGTGTGTCACTGTTACCTTTGGAACCTGGCAGGCACACAGAACCTTCCCAGAATGCCTCTGGTGAGCGAGCAGCATCACATAACTGAGAGGAGCTGCGGTGCTCAGCTGATTCACCGTCTTCATCACAATCTGACAGGAAACAGCAGGACAGGTGTGATGTCATAGTGATGTCATGAGACTACAGTTTGTTACCAGACAGATGCATGATGGGAAATGTAGGATCTAGTCATCGATCAGGTTGAATGATCTCACCGACAGAGAGTTCGTCTCCACCAAGTCCACCTGCAGATCCTTCTTGCCGTTCTTCTCCAGCAGCGCCTGAGCTCTCACCGCAGCCTGTGCAAAGCATGATGGGAAAACACAGTCAGAGCAGCAAACATGGAGGAGTGACACAGATCCTCACCTGCTGATAGAATAACTCACCTGTAACAGTTTTATATCATGGAATCATTCTTTCTATCCGCATACGATCGTCCTGCCTACGCTCTGTTGTTTGATGATGTCAGAGAGTGTGACATAAGCGTGTTCTCTGATGATGTTAGAGAGCGTGATGTAAGTGGAATCTCTGATGATGTCAGCAGAGCAGGGAGGTGAGGGGAGGGGCAGTCCTACACAGAGCGTATAAAGAGGCCAGACAGACTCAGGTGGGTTTATTTCCTGGACGTTGACTCTGAATCACCTTTTCTTCTTCTACTTTAAATGTTTAACTCACTTTGTGTCGTCCTTTTTTTTCTTGTGTAGATACAGGAGCGTGTTGATGACTTTGTCTTGAAGACATTACTTTTTATGAAGAGATTTAAATTTAATCAACAATGGACAGGAGATACTGTCTCACGTCCTCCAAACTAGAGCAGGTGTCTGCAGGTGTCATGACCCTGTTGGTCAGTCTGTCTGCTCTGCGTCACATTCTGCTGCAATAAAAATGATTAAAGATGAAGAGACCTAAACTTTTATCTCAGGAGGTCAAACTGACACTGACAACGTTTCCTTTGGGGAAATAATCTGCAGTTGGAATAAAAGGTAATAAATCGATATTTATTTTATCACAATACTCAGCGTATGGTGAAGACATCGTATCATGATTCCCACCCATCCTGTTTAGAGGCAGATCCCATCTCGATCTAGATGTGTAATCCAGATATAGACACCAGGGACCGTTAGACATTCCTTCTTGTTCCACATAGTCAGGTGACATCACTAACGGGCTTTCCCTGACAGCGAGGCCTTGCCACGCTGAGGGCGGCGATTAGTAGCAGTGAGGAGGAAGTGTGCGCGTCCAGCCAAGCGGCCAATTCTCCATCTGAGACCAAAATAATGAGGGCGACCAGTAACTAACACCCTGTGTCCAGCCCCCCACCGAAACCTGCACCCCCAATGAAAATATTTGTCTCAGTAACAGGAAGAGGGTGGTACGATAGAAAGTCTCCACCTTTTGGTTAAGTGCCCACCTAATGTTAAGGTGAAGGAGCGGCTCTGTCTCAGAGACACCTCCAACTTCCTGTTCAGTGGTAAAAGATAAGAACAGAGGCGCTGCCTTTGTCAAGAGAAGTAAAAGTTGCCATCTTGGTTCGTACTTCAGTGCCTCCGTGTTGTTTACACTCCTCAAAACGTTAACAGACAAGGTGATTGGTTTATGCGCTTATTCAGTGTGTGAAGGTGTTCCCACTGTGTGTGAGAGTCACAGTGTTTCTCAGGTGTGTGTGGTCACCTCTCTGCTCTCCAGTTTCCTGACGGTGGTGTTACTGGTCCTCTGCAGAGCTCGGAGTCGACTCTGCAGCTCTCTGCGCTGCCACTGAGGGATGGGGGTGTTATCCACAGCCTGACAGACAAAGCCCAGGGTCAAACAGCACTGAAGAGGCACACACCACATGTTCTATCATCCTCGCAGCAGCTGCAATGCACCATGGGTACTTACATCAGAGAGGACTCCTATCTCCTTGGCGAGGCACTGAGCGGACTCAAGGCTGGAGGGGGTGGAGCCTGCTACTCTGGCAGACAGAGAGTCCACATCCTGAGACAAAACCTGCCCATCCTCTCGAGCCTGAAGACAACATGACAGAGTCCACAACATGATACTGTGGTTTCAGCTGGCTAAGCTAATGTTAGCTTGTTAACATCAATACCGTTTGTTAGCCAACAAAGCAACATACTCTAATAAACACACATTAAACACACACTAAACACATCAAACACACATTAAACACACTAAACACATTAAACATGTTAAACACACACTTAACATATTAAACACATTAAACACATTAAACACATACTAAACACATCAAACATACATTAAACACACTAAACACATTAAACACACAAACACACACTAAACACATTAAACACACATTAAACAAACACTAAACACATTAAACACACATTAAACACACATTAAACACACACTAAACACATTAAACACACATTACACACACATTAAACACACACTAAACACAAACACACATTAAACACACACTAAACACATTAAACATGTTAAACACGTTAAACACATTAAACACACGTTAAACACATCAAACACACATTAAACACACTAAACACATTAAACGTTAAACACACACTTAACACATTAAACACACATTAAACACATTAAACACATTAAACACACATTAAACACACTAAACACATTAAACACACATTACACACACATTAAACAAACACTAAACACATTAAACACACATTAAACACACACTAAACACATTAAACACACATTACACACACATTAAACAAACACATTACACACACATTAAACACACACTAAACACATCAAACACACATTAAACACACATTAAACACATTAAACACACATTAAACACATTAAACACGTTAAACACATTAAACACATTAAACACACACTGAACACACATTAAACACATGTTAAACACATTAAACACACACTAAACGCAGATTAAACACACACACTGAACACACACTGAACACATTAAACACACACTAAACACACACGTTAAACACATTAAACACACACTAAACACAGATTAAACACAAACACACACTGAACACACACTGAACACATTAAACACACACTAAACACAAACACACATTAAACACAGGTTAAACACGTTAAACACACACTAAACACACACTGACCACACATTAAACACAGGTTAAACACATTAAACACGTTAAACACACACTAAACACATTAAACACACATTAAACACATACTAAACACATTAAACACACGTTAAACACACGTTAAACACATTAAACACACACTAAACACACACTGAACACACATTAAACACGTTAAACACACACTAAACACACTAAATGCTGATTAAACACATTAAACACACACTGAACACATTAAACACACACTAAACACACACTAAACACACGTTAAACACATTAAACACAGGTTAAACACATTAAACACGTTAAACACACACTAAACACAGATTAAACACATTAAACACACACTAAACACATACTGAACACACACTGAACACACATTAAACACACGTTAAACACATTAAACACGTTAAACACACACTAAACACAGATTAAACACATTAAACACACACTAAATCTTAATTACACATAGATGTAAAGAAAAGACAGGAGACGGATGTGAAAAGTTGAATGTTTGTTAAAGAACAACAATTAGACATGGAGGGAAAATTAAATAACTGAACAAAAGTTTCAGACTAAGAAGAAAAACAACATCATCAGGAGCTCGTTATCCTGAGAACACTTTATAAAGTTTAATTCGTCATGTCTCATTATTTCTTGACTTTTATATAAAGACATTTTTCTCTGCCTGCTCAGCGCGCTTCCTGTTGTCGTTTCTGTTCAGTGTTGGCTCAGTTCTTCTGTCCTCTTCTCTCCTGGAGGTCTGTTTTTATCAGTCTGTGACGTCTCCACCTCTCCTCACTCATTTCTTTGTTTTTCTGTTTTACTTTTTTGGTTTTGGATAGATTTACATGTACAAACCAAAAAATAAAATAAACATGACCATTGGTGCTGATTTATCCAACAATAAACAATCTAACAATACAAAGTGTTTTCTACAAGGCCAGACCGATGCAGGAGCAGCCAGTGAGCTAATGTTCCCTGAGCTAATGTTAGCCAGCTAGCTGTCACGTAGCTTCTTTACATGGATCTGCTGTCGATTGCTTCGTAACGTCGGCTGATTAACTCACAGTTAGCGACTTGGTATCACGGAGCCGAATGACCAAACCAAATACAGGAACATTAGACGCTAATGTTATTCTGAATATGACTTAAATTTATTTTCCAGCCTTCAAACAACAGGATGGCGCTCAGTCACTGCTGTGGCCGACGCCCAGGACTGTGATTTTATTAAAGTTATTAATTAAAAACATTATCAATTATGAAGCATTTTTGAACAAGGTGAAATGTGTTAGTTTGATCAGAATAAATTAAATCTATTGTAAATAAATGACTATTAAACACTTTCATCTGCAGAAACAAAAACGACAGACTCATGACGATCATTAACAAAAATACAGAGAAGCTGCATCCCTAAAATAAATCCCTGTGGAACACCCTCGTTATTAATAAAATAATATGTTACGAAATGAAACAATCTTAAATTGTTATGGAAAGTTAAATAATTCCTGTAGAGAAACGTTAAGTCTTCAGTCAATAAAAACTGTCTCAGTGTGAAAATTAAAGTTCACAGCTGTTATCAGGAGTTACTGATGCTAACAGTTTCCCCCTGCTTCCAGTCTTTGTGCTAAGCTAACCAGGCTACTGGAGGTAGGTCTGTGCTGGACACACAGGTGACAGTGATGTCGTGATGACTTGGAGAACACACAGATGGTTTACACACGTTATTACTGACCCGTGACGCCTCACGTCCCGTCACAGCGATGATGCGACTGATTCCTTTCACCAGCTGTCTCTCAGAAACTATCACCAGGTCCTTGATGGCTCCAGTCTGCAGCAGGTGGCTAAGCACACGCGCGCACGTGCACACACACACACACACACACACACACACACACACACACACACAATCGGGTTATTTACCAGCACAGCAATGATGGTGTAACATCCTGCTGAAATGTTGCCTCAGCTTTGTGTTGGATGTGTTGCTAAGCGACAGCTGCCTCACTGTTAGTACCCTCTGTAACACTGTCTCTTGAAGGCGTGATTCCACGCTGTTATTTCGCCTCACCATTCTGTATGAAACAACCAATCACAGAGTGAGGAGACAGAGGTGTCTCACTTCAAAGCCAACAGCGGACGTAGTAACAGCTCCGAAACATCTGTATAAACAGGACATAACTCAAGATGGGATCATGGACAGGTGAGACATTTTGATGATGTGTCATGTGTGTGACCGACCACAAGAGATTTAATAAGCAGCTGTTAGCAGTTAGCAGCTAACTAGAGGAAAAGCAGCTGCTGTTAGCAGTTACCAGCTAACTCAAAGAAGAACAGTAGCTGTTAGCAGCTAACTCAAAGAAGAAGAGCAGCAGCTGTCAGCAGTTAGCAGCTAACTCAAAGAAGAACAGCAGCTGTTAGCAGCTAACTCAAAGAGGAACAGCAGCTGTCAGTAGTTAGCAGCTAACTCAAATAAGAACAGTAGCTGTTAGCAGTTAGCAGCTAACTCAAAGAAGAACAGAAGCTGTTACCAGCTAACTCAGAGAAGAACAGCAGCTGTTAGCAGTTTGCAGCTAACTCAAAGAAGAAGAGTAGCAGCTGTTAGCAGTTAGCAGCTAGCAGCTAACTTAAAGAAGAAGAGTAGCAGCTGTTAGCAGTTAGCAGCTAGCAGCTAACTCAAAGAAGAACAGTAGCTGTTAGCAGTTATCAGCTTTAGCATTGTGAACTCTACGAAAAAGTTGGTTGGCCCTCTCTTGAAGAAAGGTGCAAGGGACACTGGCTTTTATATATCTTTAAAGCCCTTCTTGGTAGATTACCACCTTACATCACTAATCTATTGGAGTGGAATTCTGGCACTTACATGACCCGCTCATCTGATTTGTTACTCCTCAAAGTTCTCCGAGCTTGTACTGAACTTGGTAAAACTGCATTTTCCTATAATGCCCCAAGCTCATGGAACACCCTCCAACACACTCAGAAGATGGAAACATTTCCTTCTCTTGCAGAGTTTAAGACTTTAATTTCTGAACATTGTGTTTCTAATTGTATTTGCTTTAAATGATTTTTTATTCTTTCTTCTTTTTCTTCATTGTTCCCTTTCATATTACATGTATGTGCTATTTTGTTTTAATGTGCTTGTAAACTCGACGGCATTGAAAATGAGGGCAACCTCAATGTCCATTCGAGAATAAATAAAGCTGAGAAGCAGCTAACTCAAAGACGAAGAACAGCAGCTGTTAGCAGTTAGCAGCTAACAGGAGCTCTTTAACCTCTGAGCAGAGACGAGATCAGCTGCCATATAACAGGGACGCTAAATGATTGTTATTGACATGTGATGTCATTGTTATTGTTCATAAAGAGCTGCTGACACGTATGATATATGTCACACTAGAGGCTGATGCTGTTGTGTTACATGTCATGCCTCTTTTGACTCTGTGAATTCAACATGCTGTCTGACATCACACTCTGGAGCCACACGATGCAGCCTTCGTTTGGTTCTGTGTAAACATGTGAGGACAGGAAGTCGTAGCGGCTCTGTGGCGCCATCTCTGTGTTTAAAGGCTGTAACAGGTCAACAGGTGTGTTTCTGTCTCACGTTCCGCAGCAGAGCTCCACAGACGTCTCTCTGTCGGCCTGATCATCCACCAGGTCACAGACCGGCACCGCCACAGACACTACCCGAACAGGGTCCGGATACACCTGCAGGAAGAGACAGAGACGGTCAGTACACCTGCAGACACAGAGACAGAGACAGAGACACAGAGACAGAGACACAGAGGCTGAGACAGAGAGACAGAGACAGAGACACAGAAACTGAGACACAGAGACAGAGACACAGAGACTGAGAGACAGAGACAGAGAGAGACAGAGAGACACAGAGACTGAGACTGAGACAGAGAGACTGAGACAGAGAGACAGAGACACAGAGACACAGAGACTGAGAGACAGAGACAGAGAGAGACAGAGAGACACAGAGACTGAGACTGAGATAGAGAGACTGAGACAGAGAGACAGAGAGACAGAGACTGAGAGACAGAGACACAGAGACAGAGAAACTGAGACACAGAGACAGAGACAGAGACACAGAGACAGAGAAACTGAGACACAGAGACAGAGACAGAGACACAGAGACAGAGAAACTGAGACACAGAGACAGGGACACAGAGACTGAGAGACAGAGACACTGAGACAGAGACAGAGAGACTGAGACAGAGACAGAGACACTGAGACAGAGACAGAGACACTGAGACAGAGATAGAGAGACAGAGAGACAGAGACACAGAGACAGAGAGACAGAGACAAACACACAGAGACAGAGACACAGAGACAGAGACACTCTAGCCCTTTTTAAACAGGAGTTGTGCAAATCTGCAGGAAAGCCCAATCAGTGTTTTTTCAGCATTGGCAGTATAAAAACAAAATCGGGGAGTGCAGCAAAATGCCGCCTACCTACTTTTGTTTATACAGAATGTGCCTTTTTCGGGGCAATGGGGGGCGTGAGCAAGTAACAAAACGTGTAGCTCAGCGTGTGACGTAAACAGTGACGTGGGAGGGAAGCCGCGGCTGGTCAGTCCTTCGGCGATTCTCTCGTAAGTCGGCCCGTTCTTCACCGTCCCCGTCATCTGACGGTTAATGGCCTCTTCGTTTGCGAGGACAAGGAGGGCACACAATTCCTTGTCTCCCCAGTTGCTCATCTTTACAGTGTCTGTCAGGTTTGTGTTTCCCTCTTGCTACTAGCTGCTCGCTAATTCCTGCTATCAGCTGTTTCCTGTTTATCCACCGCCAGTGTGTCACACGTGCGCTGTCATCAACAGCTCCTCCCACAAGTCATCAACAGCTCCTCCCGTGGCAGAAGGGCGCCTCGGTCTGTTTAAACTAAAAGGGTTCCACCAATATGTCTACCCTACGAGGTGGAAAATTGGGCACCTCGGATCAACTCGCCAATCCGGCTCTGTGTGTCTAAACGCTCACAGCTTGCTAAACGGCCCAACATTCGCCGCAAATCTGGCAGTGTAAAAGGAGCTATGGAGACAGAGACAGAGACAGAGAGAGTGAGAGACAGAAAGCATCACCTCGTCCACTGTCCTCAGTCCCTCGATGCTCCTGGCTGCCTGCAGAGGAAGCTCCTGGCTGTGGACGACGTGATTGGCTGAGATGATGTCATGAACACACCTGTCTACCTCCTGCAGCTGAGAGACATCCAGTGAACTCTGAAGACACACACAGTGAAAGGTAAGTGAATGGTTACTGAGTGGTTAATGAATGGTTAGTGAAATATTAGTGAAAGGTTAATGAGTGACCTTGACACTGAAGTCAAAGCGCAGGCGATCAGCTGACACGTGAGATCCTCTCTGCTGAACTGAGTGACCCAAAACTTTCCTCAGAGCAAAGTTCAGGATGTGAGTTGCTGTGTGATTCACCATACAGGACAACCTGTGGTCCTGTGAGACACAGGACAGACAGAAAACACAGAGACAGACAGACAGACACATCTAAGTGTAATGAGTTTGCAGTATTCTTTTGCGACAAGGTTCAGACCATTAAAAATGCCATCAATTCCACAACACCAGTAACAACCCTGCAGCCACCTAGACACTTAGAGCTGACTCAATTTGCACCTATAACTGACAAAACTGTCCAAGAGATCATCACCAGTCTGAGTTCATCTACATGCTGCCTCGATGTGTTACCCACTAGATTTCTAAAGTCCGTGCTGAGCAGTTTGTTACCACCACTCGCTCACATAGTTAACATGTCACTACAATCTGGAACATTCCCAAAGGCCTTGAAAACTGCGGTCATAAAGCCTCTCCTAAAGAAGAGCAGTCTCGATGCCACAGTACTGAACAACTACCGGCCCATTTCAAATCTGCCATTTTTAGGCAAAGTCCTTGAGAAAGTTGTTTACCAACAGCTTACTGACTTTCTCCTAATGAACAACTCCTTTGATGTTTTCCAGTCAGGTTTTAGACCCCATCACAGCACTGAGACCGCTCTTATTAAGGTGACAAATGACATCCGCCTGAACACTGACACAGGCAAAGTCTCAGTTTTAGTCCTGCTAGATCTGAGTGCTGCTTTTGACACTGTCGATCATGAGATCCTTTCACAGAGACTAGAGGACTGGGTGGGCATCTCTGGCACTGCCCTAAATTGGCTGAAGTCCTATCTAGAAGACAGGAAGTACTTTGTTGAAATTGGTAACTGTGTCTCAGACCACATGGCCTTGACCTGTGGGGTGCCCCAAGGGTCAATCCTGGGACCCCTTCTGTTCAATCTCTACATGCTGCCTTTAGGCCAGTTAATACAAAGTAATAATGTGTCCTACCACAATTATGCAGACGACACTCAGATCTATGTCTCACTGACAGCAGGTGAATATGGACCAGTGGATTCACTCTGTCACTGCATCCAACAGGTCAGTGTGTGGATGCAAAACAACTTTCTCCAGCTAAATTCAGACAAGACTGAAGTCATCGTATTTGGTCCACAGAAACAAAGAGAAAGTGTCAGCAGTCACCTCCAGTCTCTCTCTCTAAAACCTACAAATCAGGTTAGAAATCTCGGGGTAATAATGGACTCAGACTTGAACTTTAACAGCCACATCAAATCAATAACATCAGCAGCTTTTTACCATCTAAAAAACATTGCCAAAATCAAAGGTATAGTGTCTAAACCTGACTTGGAGAGACTTATCCATGCATTTGTCTCTAGTAGGTTAGACTA